AGAGAGAGAGAGAGAGAGAGAGAGAGAGAGAGAGAGAGAGAGAGAGAGAGAGAGAGAACTCAGAGTGGCTCAGCTCCCTAAACTCGAAGAGCTAATTCATCTTTCTCACGCCTCGTTAGGGAATGCTGGGAGTCTGATTAAAGATTGAATATTTCATGGCGGGTTTATATCGCCGACCACCTGCTCTCTTTTCCTCTTACTCCTTCCTTCTCCCATTATTATCCTCAATTTCAAATTTTCTCTCCCTCGCCCCTCTCTATTTTCCTCTCCCTTTAGTCACTCTCTTTTCCTTCTCTCCATCCCTCTTTCATCACCGTTCTCCAGTTCGCCTTTCTTGCCTGTATTAGACCMCCTCTCTCTGTCTGTACCTCACCGACTCTTACTTTCGTATTCACGTCCTCTTTCCGACACCTCATTGTTTTTGTTTGTCTACGCTCTTGTGCCAACGGACAAGGAGATGTTTCATTTTGTGCAGTAAAAAGGGCAGATGTGCCACAAATTTTATTGGAAAATAAAGAAGAGCATTTGTAATGCAGGATATTGCGCATGACTTTAGTTTCAAGAATTGATCGAAACGGCTACACGAGATGATCCTTAGTCTAAAACTTGGGTTTCAAAGCCTGCAGGTGATAAGCATTCTTATAAGGAACGCTGAACTTTTAATATATTAATGAGATGTGTGTTTCTCTACGTGTGTGTGAAACAGGAATGTGAGTTCCGCTGGAGAGGAAGCTCGGAGGAGGATGAGGGAGTGCGAGGGTCTAACTGACGCTTTGCTCTACGTCATCCAGACCGCTCTAGGGAGCAGCGAGATTGACAGCAAGGTAAAACACACACACTCACTGCCTTTTTGTCTTTTGTACGCATACCGTGTTAAAACTGCTGGTCCATGCGCACAAACAGTAATAAAAAATACAAGCTTCTCATTTTTCCCCTATTTAACGCAAGGCTCAATTTACCAAATATCTTAAAACTGTAGTTTTATTGGCATTGTGTACATTTACCTTTTAAAATAAGTGTGAATCAATAAATTATTCTGAGCTTGTCAACTATACAAGCTGCTAGACTAATATTAATAAATCCAAATGGTGACACAGGACCATAATCAGTGAGTCTTGTGTGAATATGTGTGTAATTTGTATTAAGTGTCACATGCAGCCATGTGTGTTTGATGAGTCACAGTTGTTTGTGTTTGTTATGAGTGCAAACTCGTCACCAGAAGATTATTTTTTATAAACCTGCAGAATTCTCCACATGATGAAAGTCTTTGACTGTTGGCTGCGCAGCCACTCATAACAAAGGATTAGTGCGTGTGTGTGCACCATGTATTTACTACCTTGTGGGAACCATATTTTTGGATACACGTCTTGTGGGGACACTGCCAGTACTGACAGGGCCCAAATCCCAGTCCCCAGGAGTACCGTGTTTGGGTTAGGACTAAGGTGTGCGTTTTGTTGCTTTCATGTGGCATCACAATGCGGTGCAGCAGGGCTATTCAACTAAACTGCTCTGGGGGCCACAGTTACTGCAGGTCAACAGCTCAGGGGCCGAACATCCAGCAATTAAAGTTATTATGTAAAGTATTACAAAGATCTGTTACCTTTGAAATAGTTTATTTTGCTGCATTTAATCATAACACTGCAAAAATGCCAGTGTTAATTTAACACCCACAGTGTTAATTTCAACACCAACAAAGTGTCTATATGTGTCCACACTTGCTGGTGTTAAATAACATTTGTGAAAGTGTTAAATTTTAACACTCATTTTTTTTTTGTTAATTTAACACCAGCCAGTGTTTAATATTCAACAATACTGGGTGTTATATTAACATTTCAACAGTGTTAAAATGTAACACCAGTGTGTTATTATT